ACAGAACATATGCAACTGAATCAAAAAGTTAAACACACATATTTAAGATGTTTTCTTTACATTTGAAATAAAGAAACCATTTACAAACCGAAACAGGAAGTGTTTTTGGACAAGTGTTGTTTACATCTTGCAAAATGTATATATATATATATATATATATATATATATATATACTCTTAAAAAACACAAGGAAACAACAGGTAATTATAACAATTCAGGTAAACCACAAAAAAATAACTGTGAATGTGTCAGTGAAGATGCAAATCTTTAATCTGTTTACCAAAAGAACAGATTGAATTTAGGCTTGTATTCACATAAGCATTCATCAACTCACACATCAGTTTTGGTAAACAGAAGCTCAAGCATGTTCGCTTGATGTGCGAGAATGTGCTTATTGTTTTGTGTTACGCAGCACATCAAGAGTGAACCAATGAGATTTACTCGTGTTACGCAGCACATTTGAGCTTCAGCAAGAACCAATGAGGTTCATTCTCGTGTTACGCACCACATTTGAGCTTCAGCAAGAACCAATGAGGTTCATTCTCGTGTTACGCAGCACGTTTGAGCTTCAGCAAGAACCAATGAGGTTCATTCTCGTGTTACGCAGCACGTTTGAGCTTCAGCAAGAACCAATGAGGTTCATTCTCGTGTTACGTAGCACGTTTGAGCTTCCTCAAGAGATCTGTTCTCGCAAGTGAAGCAAGTTAATTTGAGCTTCTGTTTGTTTGCTGATCAATGTTTATATGTGAATAAAAGCCTAGATTAAATAATTCGGTTTATAATATAAAGCGAGTCTCTTAAAAAAAAAAAAAGGACTAAACCACTCTATTTAAATGGATTCATTTTAAAATGTCAGTTACATAGCTATCAGTGGAGGGGCAGAATGATTTCAGATTTCATTAAAAAAGATCTTCATTCGTGTTCCAAAGATGAACAAAAGTCTTACGGGTTTGGAACAACAGGAAGGTGAGTAATTAATGACAGAATTTTAATTTTTGGTGACCTGTTAAATCTTTTTTTATTTTTACCATGATATTAGCAGGGTTTAAATCAGGGGATTATTCAGGCGATTATTCAGGTTGTATTGTAATAGTTATTAGCCTTGAACTTTATTAGCAAATTTGTTTGAATTGAACAAATGTTCAAATAAATGGTCAAAGTAATATCTTTAGTAATTTTAAAATATGGGTAAAATAACCTAAAAACAACATTTGATAATGCTTATCATTTTGTCAGGGATCTTTTAATTAAATTGTATTGGTGGCTTCCTAAAAACACTTTTGAGGAAAAAGAATATCTCATCACACTTGACTCTCTGATGGTTAAGGTTATTATTGTACTACTTACTACACATAATATGTAAACAAACAATGTGACATTGATTCCATGCTTCATGCATATCCTGATGTTAGTCCTAATCTGATAGTTCTAAAATAAAGAAAACCCCCAACAAAAAGGTCAAAGAACAATAGCCTTTCACAAATGCTATAACTAAACAGTCTTTTCATGCACAACTGTTTAATGATAGCTCAAAAAGACTATGACAGATGCATTTGCTCCAAAAATACTACAAAAGACCATTTTAAGCAACGTTTGGGATTACTACATAAAGAGTAAACAAACTTTTCACATAGGTGACATCACATTGTGACATGGTTTTAGAAAGATTATCAGAGGATGTGACTCATGTGTCTCTGACCGAAACTATTTCATTGTGAATGTGAAGGGGACATGACCACATCCTCCCGCACAATCCACATTACTCATTCCCTATTAAAACAACAAACACTTAAGAAAATACAAAGAAGACAAAGTGAAACCATTTGCACAATAACCTGGTCTATTTCAAAATAGTTGTACATTTGTACTAATATCTGATATTTAAATCGATTACCATTAGTAAGATAGTAATTATCTGATTACAAATTGGGAAGCATAAATATGCAATGATCATTATAGCATTTGGTCACTTATTTTAGTAAATTATAAGACAAAGCAAGTAACTAATAGGTCCATATGACCATTATGAGATCCAGTGCTGTAATAAACTAAAATCTGATAATCTGTTGATATTTTCCAATACACATCTACAAAAAAGTGAAACCAGTAGGCTAACCCATAAACTGTCACAGCTTTGGTGAAGAAGAAATAACGCACTTACCTGTGAACAAGAAGAGGGTCAAGATTATACCCTGCCACATATTATCTCAAGATCTTTTCAAACACACCCAACATTAAATTACCCAAAAGTAGGTAAAAAAAAAAAAGTCCGAGTAGGCCTATGTGTCGTGAATGCAGCTGTATTTGACTCAGGCAGGTGCGTCCTCCATTTCCTCGTGCAGCGAGGTATGAATGTGTAACCCGAAACTCAGGTGAGATCGGCGGACCACTGCAAACACAATACACGTACAGTCATAGGTGCCCAAAAAAGAACTATAGTTTGCCTGTTTAAAAATAAGGACTCTTATACATTTCTTTTGCTTCTTAAACAATCGGACATAATATTAAAGAACTGTATTTCGTGACTGCAGACCCGGTTTGACGAGATTAACCCAAAACGTTTAATAATACAACGCCCTGAAATCCACCTTTGATGAGAGAAATGGTTTAGTCCACTGGCAATCTATGTAGGCTGAGTTAATGATCGCCCGGGAGATTTTGGTTAACCTCGAACCCCAGGCTCGAACTATTTTCTTACTTCGCATAGATTCTCAGATCTAATGACTGGTAACTAACTAACGTTATTTTGAATGTGTTGGTAAAAAGCAGAATAAATAATTCGTTATGTTTCTAGGATAAACGTTGGCCTCCCCGGTTTCCTGATGATTGATCTCACACGACACGTTTTGTTTGTTTGTTTTTTTAACTAATTAAAAGCTAGAGTAGCCTACATGTATAGACATACTGTACATGTCAGGAGTGGAAGAAAAAAATAAAATAAAATAAAAAGAAAGATATTTTACATTAAAACTTATAGTTCTCATTGCTTTGAAGTTTTACTTTGAATATTGTTACTAAAAAGGCTTTTTAACATTAATTTTAAATTGTTCATAATTCCAGTAACAGTAAGTATTTAAGATTGAGAAAACCCTAACCCTAACCCACGCAAGAAAATATTATTAGCCTACATCATGCAACTTAACACAAGTAAATTCTTTAACGGTAAAGAATGATAATTATTATTAGCCTACTCCTATAGCCTCAAAATGTCATAGCTTCAAAATTGGGAATTGCATGTTAAACCATAAAAGTTATAGGCCTAAATATGAACAAATTCAGTTTAATTTTAGAAACCACCATTTGATCAAGTGTTTAACCCAAATTATTATTTTTTTCAAACCAATTCCCATAAAAAATATTGATTTGTTTCTAACCCATATTATTCTAAATGGTACATTTATGGGGGGAGAAATTATGACTATGAGAGAGAGAGTAATGCTTTTGTGGAAACTTGTGTGATACAAGTTAAATGGGGATTTGATTAATATCATAATCACATTTCAGTATGAACTCTATACCATCAGAGTGTTTTTGAAATATAAAGTTAGTTAGGCCTACATATACTTTGCCTATTTTTTTTTTTTTAAATTGGCTAATTGTGGAGCCATTTTATTTAAAATATCAAGTTAGAGGTCTTAAAATCCAAAATATTCAATCCTCCTTCAATTTTTGACCTACAGATATTTATTTATTTTTTAAATAGTGTGATTTGTGATGATCTTCCAAATAAATTTTAAAAGTTTGGTGTCTATCATTTTAATGAATGAGGAGGGTGTATCTAACACTTGAGCATATCAAGATAAACCCTCAGCTTTATTACACTCAACCAAAAAGATAAGTCAAGAATTCAGTTTCTTTTAAATTGATTGAATGACAGGAATGAAGTTTAACTTATTCCTGAATTCCATATTTTTAGATATCTTGATAGAGTACGCAAACATTTGACAATTTTTTTACTGGAATATTGCATACTGCTGTAAAGTTACAAAACCCTATAGAGCCATTAGCTCACTTTTATTAATATTCAGGGAAGACCAGATACAGATGAAAATAACTGCAGACAATTGATTTTTTTTTAACTTCTCCACACAACACGCTAATAGACCTTACAGCTGCACCATCTTTGAAAATGAAAGTGAGGCTGTAAAGGACATCTCTCCAATGGCTTATGTTTTTTTTTTTTTTTTTTTTTTTAATTGTTCTGCAGACAAAACACTGAAAAAACAAAACAAAAAATGATCTGTGGAAAATTAGAAGTGATCTATGAGTTTTATACCACTTTTTACAGGGGACGCATTGAATACATGGGAGTTTATCCAGCACAGCCACACTTTCACACCTCTTGGCACTGCTCTGTGATCTTGAGGGAACATCACATATCACATCAATGGGCATCACTGCTGCTAGTTGTGACACTTTGACTAAAGTAATTATTTCTCAGTGTTGGTTTATTATTGAAAGTCATTTACTTATTATATCTGTAAATGACATAATATTACAAATATATGTAGGCCACCATGTCAACTTCCTTATTTGTGTCAGTTTCATGTAACAATTTTGTTCATTAGGTTGATATTTTTGCTGAGCTTGAAACATCAGAAAGCATTTTGAGAAGTGTTAACCACAGGACTTGGTGGTTGGACACTTTTTTTCCTTATTCTGATTGCACAAACAACTCGCCAAAGTAATAAAAACGGATACAGCGCATCGTTCTTGCCCAACCATTCTTCCATTCCTGCACCCTCCCGTTAGGCTACTCTGTCTAACTGTGTTTTTTAGATTAAATAAAGGAAATGAGACCCAAAGCAAAACACTGCACGTGTAAACAGTAGCGGCCATGAAATCTGCAGTGCAACTATCAACAGAGAGGCGTGGCTTAGAGAGTGTCAGTCCAACAAATCCCGCCTTGTATAATATGATTGGCTTGTAACAGTGGCGTACGTAACTATCGTCCAATCACGTGACTTTTACAAAGGAGCGTCATGTCACTGATTAAACCAAGAGGAGGGGCTTGTTGAAAAAACACGGCTTATTGGGGAAAAGAATAACACAGTCGGGATAGAGGCATTGTAGCAATTGTAATTTTATACAAACTGAAGGCAGGACCCTTCAAAAAAGGTAAACCTTAATTCATATCATATCCACTATAGTTTTATATCGTACCTTGAAATAGGAGTTTTTTCGTATGGTGCTTGATCAGCTTTTAGGCCCATTTGCTATTACATCAGAATCTAAACCATGTTCATCGCGTGCGTGACAGTGTGTTAATAATGTTCTTTAAATGCATCGCACTTATTGCATTATTTTGTTTCAGATAATGCATTGTTACACAGCATCAGTATTAAGAACACGAGAACGTCGGCCGTACAGTAGAGTACATTGCGTTCTCATATCAGCTGTGTGTTATTTGCATATCATCACGAACTGAAAATTATTGTTTAGTTGAGGATAGCCAGAATATTTTGATTGCATGATGAGATATTAACATAATGTATATATCATAGGCCTATCGAATTTCGCTGTAAAACAGCCTGGAGCTGCATACATCAAGTCAAGTGGAAAATATGTGCATAAGTTCACCAAAACATTAAGATCTGTAATTGCATGATCTTTCATGACTTGCATTGTAATGCAATAAATTACACAGATGATTTCTTTTCTCCCTTTTTAAGTCAAGCCCAACCATGGGGAAGTCTCTATTTTCTTTGCCAAAGCAAAAAGAAGACCAGGAGAACCTGACTGAAGACCCAAAGTCGCTCAATGAGGACGATAAAGACGACGTGTCACAGTTTCCATATGTTGAATTCACAGGCAGAGACAGTGTTACCTGTCCTACTTGTCAAGGGACAGGGAGAATACCAAGAGGTGAGAACAGATCCATATGTCATCCACCTTTTCATCCATCCATCTTCACAGTACCATGTATCCCAAAAATGTAATATGCAAATCTAAATGTCTAACATTATTAAACTGTTCTCTAAAGAAGGGACATCAATAAATTGTATAAATCATTATTGTAATCATTTGTTTTTCCTATCCTGGATATTCTCACAGACCAAGAAAACCAGCTAGTTGCTTTGATACCATACAGCGACCAGAGGCTGAAGCCAAGACGAACGTAAGTTTGTTTAAACATTGGGGTCAGAGTTTAGTTTAGGGTCCAATTCTCACTATTGACTAACTATTAACTACGACTTTTGCATTCCTAATTAATAGTTAGTTAGGTAGTTGTTCAGTTTAGGTATTGGGTATTAAGGGATTTAGAATAAGGTCATGCAGAATAAAGCATTAATATGTGTTTTATAAGTACTAATAAACAGCCAATATCCTAGTAATATGCATATTAATAGCAAGCACCTAGTTAATAGTGAGAATTGGATCCTAAACCAAAGACCCTAAACCCAACATTGTGTATGTAGCCTATATAATATAAATAATGACTGGCTGTGTATTCTTGCACTGTTCCAGGACATTGTACGTGTTTGTATCCGTCTTTCTGTGTCTGCTGCTTTCTGGTCTGGCCGTGTTCTTCCTGTTCCCTCGGACTATTGACGTCTCTTATGTTGGGGTGAAGTCAGCCTATGTCACTTATGACCGAGACCAGCGGATAATATACCTAAATATCACGGTAATATTTAGAGCGCGCCCTTTTAATTTGTGTTTCAGGATTGTTAACCTTAATATTCTTTCTGTAATGGAGGGATTGGACTTGATAATGAGATTGATCAGACTTTTATTTTCAAATTTTTGTTGTCATGTGTAATTTTAAATAACAGTATTTTGTTTTTCTCAGAATACCCTTAACATCACCAACAATAATTACTTCCCAGTACAAGTAGCCAACATCACAGCCCAGGTGCAATTCTACAAGACTGTCATTGGGAAGTCTGTCGTCAGTAATGTCACCACCATCATCCCCCTGGATATGCGACAGGTGCGTGGTCATTTATTTAGATCACTGGTATAAAACAACCTTTTTAGGTTTGTTAATACTTCAGCAAACATTACTTGACTAATAATTGTATATTCATATTTAAATACACACACATAAACTGCTGTTCAGATGTTTTTAATGCTCACCAAGGCTGCATTTATTTGATTCAATTTGTTTATACAGCCTAAATATGCATTCATAGTGAGGAAAATTACTATGCCAAACATTGAGATAATTGAAAGAAAATGATCTGTATCCTGCCAATTGTAACGGTCACCAGGTGGAGTGCCCTTGAGAGTCACCAGAGGGCACTCCACACCAGATGTTCATGTTTCCCTCACAACTACATTTCCCAGAACTCACTGCCCGGACTCATCACTGATCACATTCACCTGTACCTCATTCACTGATTGCATTCACCTGTGTCTCATCCTGTTAGTGTGTCTATATATACCTTGTGTTCACATTCAGTGTTTGCGAAGTCTTGTTTAAGTGTTACTTCATCTACAAGCCTCAGAGCAGTTCGTAACAGAAGACTTCGCCACACCGAGATCCAGCAACAACCGACCAACAAATGAATCCAGCAGCACAAATCCGGGAGTTTGCTGGTCAGATCGCGGCCTTGGCCCTGGATAGCCGTGATCTGTTCCAGTATACCTGGGGGTTTGTTCCTCTCGCTGCCTCCTGCTCTCTCGGTGATGAGGCTATTAAGCTGTGTTACCAGCTAGGGGCTAAGGAGGTCAACCCGAGGGAGCTCCCCAATCTCTCGGGTCTGAACTGGAGAGAGGCGGTCTCCGTTTGTGAAGAGAGTTTCATTCCAAAGCCTCATCACGTCTCAGCAGAGCTTCCAGAGCCTCGTCACGTCTCAGCAGAGACAGCCCAGCCAGAGTCTCGTCCCGCCGAGAAAGCCCAGCCAGAGTTCCATGTCAGCCCTGCCGAGTCTGAGCCTGTTCACGTCACTTCTGCCGAGACAGAGACGCTTCACGTCACTTCTGCCGAGCCAGTATCTATGGACAAGTTGGCCGTTTCAGAGACTGTTCACGTTCCTTCTGCCGAGCCAGTGTCTATGCACAAGATGGCCGCCTCCGAGCCAGTGTCTACGGACAAGATGGCCGACTCAGAGACTCTTCAATGTACTTCTGCAAATTCAGAGATTGTTCACGTCACTTCTGCCGAGCCAGAGACGCTCCACGTCACTTCTGCCGAGCCAGAGACGCTCCACGTCACTTCTGCCGAGCCAGAGATGCTCCACCTCACTTCTGCCGAGCCGGAGACGCTCCACGTCACTTCTGCCGAGCCAGAGACGCTTCACGTCACTTCTGCCAAGCCAGTGTCTAAAGACAAGATGGCCGCCTCCAAGCCAGTGTCTCCGGACAAGATGGCCGCCTCCAAGCCAGTGTCTCCGGACAAGATGGCCGATCCAGTGTCTCCGGACCAGATGGCCGACCCAGTGTCTCCGGACAAGATGGCCGACCCAGTGTCTCCGGACAAGATGGCCGACCCAGTGTCTCCGGACAAGATGGCCGACCCAGTGTCTCCGGACAAGATGGCCGACCCAGTGTCTCCGGACAAGATGGCCGACCCAGTGTCTCCGGACAAGATGGCCGACCCAGTGTCTCCGGACAAGACGGCCGATCCAGTGTCTCCGGACAAGACGGCCGATCCAGTGTCTCCGGACAAGACGGCCGATCCAGTGTCTCCGGACAAGACGGCCGATCCAGTGTCTCCGGACAAGACGGCCGATCAGGTGTCTCCGGACAAGACGGCCGATCCAGTGTCTCCGGACAAGACGGCCGATCCAGTGTCTCCGGACAAGATGGCCGATCCATTGTCTCCGGACAAGATGGCCGATCCAGTGTCTCCGGACAAGATGGCCGATCCAGTGTCTCCGGACAAGATGGCCGATCCAGTGTCTCCGGACAAGATGGCCGATCCAGTGTCTCCGGACAAGATGGCCGATCCAGTGTCTCCGGACAAGATGGCCGATCCAGTGTCTCCGGACAAGATGGCCGATCCAGTGTCTCCGGAAAAGATGGCCGATCCAGTGTCTGCCCCCGATCCAGTGTTTGTTTCTGTGTCTGTGTCTATCCTTGTGACCATTTCTGATGTAGTGTCTGTTCCTGAGCCGGTGTCTGGTCCTGAGAGGGCATCACCGCCGTGGCCGCCCGAGGGGTCTTCACCGCCGTGGCCGCCCGAGGGGTCTTCGCCGCGGTCTTCGCCGCCGTGGCCGCCCGAGGGGTCTTCGTCACCGTGGCCGCCCGAGGGGTCTTCGCCGCCGTGGCCGCCCGAGGGGTCTTCACCGCCGTGGCCGCCCGAGGGGTCTCCACCGCTTTGGCCGCCCGCACATCTTGCTCCGCCCTGGCCGCCTGCACGGCCTGCTCCGCCCTGGCCGCCTGCACAGCCTGCTCCACTCTGGTCTTCCGTCCTAGTCTCCAGGCCCTATTCTGCTCCACAGGCCTGGCCCTCCATCCCTCCCCCGGATCCGCCTCCGCTCCACCTCCCTCCTGAACTGTTTTTGGAGCGTCTGGAAGCCGCTCTTTGGGGGGGGGGCTATGTAACGGTCACCAGGTGGAGTGCCCTTGAGAGTCACCAGAGGGCACTCCACACCAGATGTTCATGTTTCCCTCACAACTACATTTCCCAGAACTCACTGCCCGGACTCAACACTGATCACATTCACCTGTACCTCATTCACTGATTGCATTCACCTGTGTCTCATCCTGTTAGTGTGTCTATATATACCTTGTGTTCACATTCAGTGTTTGCGAAGTCTTGTTTAAGTGTTACACTGCATTTCTGAGCGTTTTTCCGTGTTTGGTTTCTGGTTTTTGACTTTGGATTGTTTTTTGGATTTTGATTATTGCTGCCTGCCCTGACCTCTGCCTGTTTCCCGGATTCCCACTGTGTTTCCTCCATTGTCCTGTCTGCTAATTGTTGACCCTGCCTGTACGACTAATCTTAAATAAAGCTGCATTTGGATCTTCATCTACAAGCCTCAGAGCAGTTCGTAACACCAATAAAGCAGTTTCATTTAGTCACATGAGTTTGCAATCTTAGTTTCTCTCCATAGGTGCGTTCCATTCGACCGTAAGTGGACTGCGAAGTGGACTTCACAGGGTATTTCGCCATCTTAAGTGAGATTCCCAATTCGAACGAAACGAACTTGTTCAGTTCGAAGGGCACTGCAAACGGCATAGGGAATAAGGGAACATCAATACATCACTTCACAGGAAGTCAGTGAAGTCCACTTCAACTGATATACCGTGTTCAGGGAGTAGGGAGCAGTGAACACTGCGTAGGGACCCTGTCGAATGGAACGCACCTCATATGTGTAATTACAGAGATAACACCTGTTTTCAATGTCATTGTCTCATTTTTAGGTTGATTACACTGTTCCCACTATCATAGCCAATGAGATGAACTACATATTGTAAGTAAAACTTTCATAAATACATTTTATCTTACAGTGTTCGAAAATGCGTATTGTGATGATTGCGTATCTGTTTTTACAGTGACTACTGTACCATGCAGTCAATTAAAGTGCATAACATTGTTGTCATGATGCAGTAAGTATTCTTTTAGTGAATCGGTGTGCTTAAACAGTTAATGTAAATGAACATAAAAAAAAGTATTTCAATAGATAAATATTTAGTAAAATGTTACTATATTGAGTTTTTTTTTGTAATTGCATTTAGTATTTTTGTGTTGGTTTTAATTTCCACGTTTAGTAAAGAATGGTATATCTATATAATATATAATAATTTTAAACAGTAAGAGCAAATTATAATTCCTTAATTGCCTTAAATGCCTGTTCTCCACTTCAACTAACAAAGAAAATGTCTCTCCAGAACGACTGTAACCGCTGTGTACTTTGGCCATGCTGAGCAGGTGTCTCAGGAAAAGTACCTATACGTGGACTGCGGCTCGAACACCACCTCTTCACGCGGACGCATGAGTGTGATACAGTGACGCCTCTACGTATGACCCTCAATTCTTAATGTTCTCATGTGGTGATAAAAAAAGATGGCTACTCCTGAGTGTTACGAATGTCTGAAAATGAAGCCTGTACTGTAGGGTGGCAACATTTGGATTGATCAGCAATTTCTAGTCAAAGAGCTGATATCCTTTCTTCCACATCATTACTGATTCTTTAGCATTGCTCCGGAGGTTTTGCTTGGATAGACAAAAGCACTTTAGTATATTTTGGGAAAATGAATGACCAGCAGAATATTCTACATAGATCTGCAAACACGTAAACCACTTTGACTTTACTACATTGTTCTCTTGGTGTGATTATTTTGTCTTTTTTAACATTGGTCATGCTCGTATAATTCTTTTATTTAGCTCTTTGTTGAGCAGGTATTCTGTAGATTTTTTTGGGGGGTGTTATGAACACATCAACAAAACCATTAACAGATGCTTTCATTTTTGATGAGATGTTACTTGCCTGAAACCACACTCCGACTTCAGTTTATGGGTATTTTATATAACTCGATTTTGTGGATTTTTCAACCTCTTACTACTTTTTTTTATTTTATTTCAAGAATTTTTGTTCAAAGGGAACGTTTAGAATGAATGTCTTTTGAACTACTTTTGAAATTATGAGAATTGAAAATGAAGTGGGCTATCTGAGGCTAGTACAACACTGGCCATGAATCAGGCGTTAATAAATATAATATAAATTGAACTCAGCAGGAAGCTGTGGAATATATTAGTTAAAAAAAGGGAATAGAAAAAGGAAGGAAAGTAATTGATTCTGTTTTAAGAAATTGACTTCTGTTAACTGATGCATCTTTGTTGTCATATTTGACTAAATTCAACCATCTTTTTTCTTGGTGTTTAGATGATTGATAATGTAGATGTTTCTCATTCACTTTAACCTTTTTGCTAATTGTGTTTTCAATATCAATACATTTGATTGATGTTTAATTTTAATGTTTCTTTTTAATTTCTTTGATGAAATTTGTGTCCATGTATATTTTGTCTTAAAATATTTTGTTGGCATTTCAGCACTCTCCCAAGTAAAATGTTATAATATCATGTTTTTTCTATGGTGAATTAAATAAGTACAGACTGGACCTGGGTAGCCTGAAATTTAATAACTTTTAATAACTATATAATTTAATAACTTTATTAACAACTTAATAAATAACTTTTTTTTATTTTATCAAACTTGTGCTTTTAGTGAAAGGTTAAAACCCATTAATAAAATTAATTTTTGTGGAGAAAAGTGGAGTGACTGTCACAATACTCCACAAGATGGCGCTTACAAGATGCGGTAGACTTCAATACAGGAAGTGAGTGAGGTAAATAAACACCATGTTTTGGGGGGTAAAATAATGGTTTGTTTAGTAATGATAAATTAACTTTTAGTTTTTTAACCACTTACATTTGGGCATAATAAATAACTGACATGGAAGAAGAAATATTAATGACCAGCCTATTGGTGTCTTGCCATAAAGCCGAAATGTTCTGGCGCAAATGCTACCCGTATTCGTGTTTTCAAAGTGTTGTGCGTAGTAGGCCTAATATATTCCGCCTGTGTTCTTCAGAAGAAAGAACTATTCTGCACATCTGTTGATGTCATTAAAGTCCCTGCTTACTTCCTCTCATGTCTCAGAACAGCAGATCCCTCTGGCCCCACTTTAATGGGCCTCTGAAACAAAGACCATGTAATGTTTCTTCATGCCTTTACCCTGAACCACCGATATCAGACAGATTGAAACGTTTCAGATTGAGTTGCAATATAACTTCTTCCCTTACAAAACAATAAATGTAAGTTTGATATCTATCACATGCTGGAGTAAGGCTTGCCAACAAAGCACGTAACAATATATAAAAACTACTAGGCCTATACAAATAACCATTGATCAAAAATCTGCCTATTATCTATACCCCTTTTAGTTCATGTCATTCAGAGAGGGAAACGCGTTAGCCGTGGTCTGAAAATCTAAGTTGGAATTTCATTGAGGAGGAGGGAAAATCTCAAGACATCTGCAGAATCCATTTCCTGGGATCAAGTGAATTTATGAGACAAATTTCTTTTGAACGACAGTAACATAAACAAGACACAGTTTGGACTTCATAAAAGACTGCAGATACTCACAATAGCTCTTAGAAATTCTGTTCTAGATTCAATTGTAATGTGTTGTCGTTTTCTTCTTAACTCTTTCAGACAGATTTTTTATTCTACTGGCCCCAAAACATAAAAAACACTTAAATATGTTGTAGCCTACTCTATTTTATACATAAGTTTTCATTCAAAAGTTTGGGTTTGAGTAAGGTTTTTGTTTTTGAAAGAAATTAATTTTATTCACGTCAATTGATATTTTTTTTTTTGTATTTAAGCAGCACGTCTGTTTTAACATTGATAATGAAATATCTTCTTTGAGCATCAAATCATCATATTAAAATGATTTCTGAAGGATCATGTGACACTGAAGACTGATTGATGCTGAAAATACAGCTTTACCAGAAATAAATTACATAGTAAAATATATTAAAATAGAAAACAGTTATTCTGAATTGCAATAATATTTCACAATGCTACTGTTTTTACTGTAACAAATAAATTCATTTGTGGTAATCATAATAGACTTCTTTGGGAAACCCTTTTGGTAATGTAATTAGGCTATATAACTATTGATGTTATGCAAACACTGTTTAATTAAAATGATTCCTAACCAAATGGTGTCAGTGTTATTTTAATGGATATACAAAGTTCCCATCACATTAGGAACATTTTCCAATAACTGTTCAATATATCTGTCATTTTAAAATTTTAATCATATTTTTTTGTGAAATATGTCACTTGAAAAGTATGATTATTACGTTTTATCTTTCTTTGAAATATGTGCCTCAATATTGGTCTCAAATTACCTTCCGGGACCCCTTGTTGATAGACTTTCAGGCACAAACCTCACAAAGGACTGCTATAACCCTCAGACAACCACATACACCCCTCTAAACACACACTCTGACTCTGAGCTTGTCTGTCTCTCAGTCCTGTCTCACACATTCCTCAGTTAGTACTTTTCCAGCTGTGGCTCCCTGTTGTACCATGTCTGTCCTGTAGGTGATTTACCATGTATATTCTGTTCAAACAGACGTTCACCAGCACTCTCAGTCTTTCTGGTTCCTTCTAAGAGTGTGGATATGAAAATGGCACTGCTTTGCTCTATGTCCACGCAGCTCTCGCTGGTGGCACTTGCCACTCTGGCTGGCATCTGTCTTGGAGGGTCCGACGGGCCCCGTGGGGTGGCTCTTCCTTTTGTCTTTGACCCCAAAGCAACGTGCGACCCTCCTTGCAAACATGCCGGGATTTGCATCCGAAACAACACCTGCTTCTGCTCGAGAGGATACGAGGGAGAAACCTGCCAATATGGTGATGTTTCAAGTTACTTGCTATGAAGTGGATTTTAGTGGGATGTGTTTGTGTGAGTGTCAAACTTGTTATTTAAGGGTCCACTACTCACATGATTTACATGTCGATTTCAGCCAACTGTTATCCAAAGTGTAAAAATGGTGGAGTGTGCCTTCGACCTGGAAAATGCAGATGCCCTTCAGGATTTGGAGGAAAATACTGTCACAAAGGTAACTGTGATTTAGTTTACATTGTGTTTTAGAATGTTGTTTTTGTGTTGAACACTAAAATATTGAGCAAGTTGAACACAGAGTCAAAAATGAAAAATAACTTTTGAGTCCAACAGCACAGAAAATTCACTGTGTGTGTGTGTGTGTGTATTTGTCAGTGGTGTGTGAAAGTGGCTGCTGGAACGGTGGTGAATGTATTGCTGTGAATGGAGAAGCAAAATGCATCTGTCCCTCCAGCTGGACCGGCTCCAGATGCCAAGACGGTTTGTTGATCCCATTTTGTTTTACTTATATATATTTTACTTTTATATATATTAATAACATTATTTATAACTTTTATATATGATGTGGCAAATTTTCCTATACAGAAGAATGATCATAAATATCAGTTGGTTCTTACATAGAAAGATGTGAAACACACCAAGATTAAAAACTCGCTAAATGTTAACAAAATGTCAAATGTTTTCATCTGTTTATCAGCATTAACTTACTATTGTCAAACACTAATTATTTTAGTCACTCGCATCTTGTCTCTGCTAGTTTACATATTGTCAACTACAATGCTTTTCTCTCATGCTAATACCCCAGACAGAAACATAATGTCGGCCCAGATACGGGCCACATCTGGTACATGATTCCACGCATTCCAGATGTGGGCCGGATCTGAGCCAACACTATGTTGCTGTTTGGGTTATTAGGGACCTGGTAGGCTGATGGGCTCATAAACAGCAATTAGCTCTGGCAATTAAGCTTGGTCTTCTTGTAGATATAGAAATATTAGATACCATACTGAGTTTAACACAGATGACAATGAGGCTGTGAGGGATGCGTCCGAACTCACACTCTCTTACTTATTTCGAATAAGGAATTAAAAGGTATATGACCGCTATAAAAGGTATGTTCTATGAATGTGTGTAGTTTGAATGTAATACTTATGTTAAATACTGTTTTTTTTTTTTTTTTTTGCCTACTATATAATAAGGAAGCAATTTCGGATGAAGCCTTAAGACTACTTCGCCAGTGGTTTCCTCAAGATTTTCCTATGGGTTTTTTAAAATAAAGTCTGTGGTAAACATAATTTAACGATAATTGAATGTTTTGCTCTACAATGTAAATTATCCCAAACATTCTTATCTAAACATAACAGCTTCAAAACAGTACATAACACAGAGCTTATTTTACGCATAAATTGAAAACCCCCTGTAAAACCCCTAAACCCAAAGGAAAATCTTGAGGTATTCACTGGCGAATTAATCTTCGGGGATTCTGATGCCACGACTGCAGCAGGTTCTGGATGACGCAACTTTATAACTGTTTTATGGAGTTTACTGAAAGTTGTTGTTGTTTTTTTCTGGAAAGATGTTTCGTCAGCTGAACAATGTTGTTTAACAACCATACTAACCATTGAATGCATTGCAATTCTATCCCTCACACGTTTTCAGTCCAGTCGAAAATTAAATATGGCACCACCCCTGATCTATTTTTAAGTAAATGTCAAACTATTAAAAACTGTTTTTGTCAATTGAATCTTTATATTTTATTTCAAATTAGACTAAAAAATAAAAGGTAATTCAAAACTATTAAAAAGCAACTATAAAAGTATATAAATAATAAAATACATACAATATAAATATTTTATACTGATATATTATTTTCCATCCTAGTGCAACCAGTTAATTTTTGTTATTTAAATGATCTGTAGGCTGTCACATAAAATACACTCGTTAACCCATATGTGTGTTTTGTTTAAAGTTATTTTTTGTGAATTAATCATCACATACATGTGCATTCTCTTGGGTTGTTGTGCCTATACTAGATGTGAGTGCAGTATCTGGGACACATGTTGATAATTAATCTGTTTCCATAGCGATCTGTCCGCAGGGATGCAGGAATGGGGGCAGCTGTGTGGACCCTGGAATCTGCAGCTGTCCAGACGGATGGATAGGCGGAGCCTGCCACACAGGTGGGTGACGACACAAAGATCTACAAACTCTTATATGCATATGCAAGATATGTATCTTCATATGTACTGTTTTTTTTTTAAAGGAATTTAATTTTTCATAAACAAGACTCTTCAACTGCTCTAGAATTAGATATTTGTTGTGCAGTTGCTATATGCTATTGTATGTGTGTAAATCCATAAATTTACTCAAAATTGCCAAAATTAAGCCAGTGATATCTCCTCCGTCTTCTGCAGCTGTGTGTAAAAAGCAGTGTATGAACGGGGGGAAGTGTGTGTCTCCGAACACCTGTCGCTGTCGAGCTCCGTTCTCAGGCCCGCAGTGCGAAGAGAGGAAGAAGCTCTACTGATGTCAGAACGGTCTGATGTCCGAACCCATCGCTCCCTCAAATTGGTGCTAAAGTTACTTGTTTGTTTGTTGAAGCCATACAGAACATGTGTGAAATGTGATGTTTTCTCTATGTTAACATTGTACATTAATGACATTATGACTTTTGTATTAAGTAGTGTGTTTACAATAACTGT